GATCGCCCTTGATCTTGTAGCACACAATATTTGAACTTCTAACAACGTTAATGAAACAGGGTGTAGTTGTTTTCCATGACGTATTTGACAATGAACAAAATGTGGGTGGTGCCCAAATAAATCTGGAAGGTGTATATATATGGCCCTTTAGACAACTCCGCCTTGTGGCTAACAGGTACTAACTATTGATTTATTTAACTGCTTTTAAGATATATATTATTGAGTCTTAACTCCAAGGTCTGTACATCAATTGACCTAAACAGCGGCAAGGAGAGTGATTCAGGGCAAGAAGACAATAATCTTCTCTCAAATCCCTATCATCTGGTAGTCCTTAAGACTCTTGTTTCACCCACTTTAGGCAACAATAGTGCTTTCTTCTGCTGATGGCTTGTTTGATGTGTTAAAATGTTCCAAGAGCTTACTAGTGTCAACTTTCTGTTGATGTACAGCTTGGAATTTTCTCCTCTCAAGTGTTTCAAGAATCTCCAAGAGACAGATTACTGAAACGGAAACTTTGTAAGCAGTATCCTATTTTTTCCGGTACGGTTTACTTTTCAGCGACTCTGATCTTCAATGCTCTTGTATTTCAGCTCCAGTAAATGAAATGGAGAAGCACTGTAACATTGAAATAGCAGCTCAAGTATCCCGTGTGGCTTCTAGTGAAAATAGTATGCATTCTAACTTTAAACATCGAGGTGATCTTGGTGTATTATATGTCTCCTTTGTCACATTTAGTCGAACGTTGAAAGACTTTTCCATATTTCGGTAGATGGAGACAAAAATTATTATCACATGGAAGGATTGATGGAAAGTCCTGGGGTAGGCGATGACGGAGATTGTTTTTCCCCTTTGTTACTGAATGCAACTTCTGTAAATGTCGAAGTCTACTATAACAAAGCTGTGAACTATACACTGATGGTCACTTTTGTATCCTTTACTCAAAAGTCTTACCCTTTCATAACAGAATGCCGAGCACTTGTGCAAATTTAGCGTGTTCCTTAACTTTCTATTGCATTTAGATCTCTTTCCTCCAGGTTCTTTTGTTGATCCGGCAAATGGAGCACGGTAACACACAATCTGTAAGATACTGATGTAAACCAGATGGTCTGATATTTTTATTCTTGTACAGAATGAATAAAAAAATACTAACTTCCGGAAGTTTCTTGTATACAAGGGTGCTGCTAAGGTATCCATTGTAATGATTGGGCAACAAGCGATCATGGATGCTTATTTGTGCCTCTTACATCTCACAGCCGGTATATTAGTCGGTACGTATTTGGTTACTGTACTCGTTTAAGGATGCCACTACTTATTTTTCATGTAACATGTTTGGCGTTCATTGCAGTGATATGTTTCATGCGTATAATAGCTTCTTTTTTTAATCTGTAGTTCCCCTTCATTTTGATGATATTCTTTGTTGGTTTTCATCGACCATTTGGTCCCTCATCTGTTGGAAAATCTAAACTGTCTCACTGACCCCTTATGCTACTTGACATTGTGATGTTCTTTTTTCTCTCAAATATCAATCACTGTTAAACCTAAAGCTTACTACTTTCTCATGCAGAATCTCTGTTTAATGCATTTGCAACCGCTGCGTTCTTCAAATTCGTAGTCTTCTCGATTTTTGAGATGAGATATCTTCTGGCTATATGGAAAGCAACCCGTCCTTCCAATAGCGGAGAGGGTTGGGAAACAATGAGGCGAGAACTGTCCTTTCTGTACAGCCGTTTCTGTGAGTACTTACTTCTTTGGTGTTGTTTATCGATTAAAGCTTCAAAGTTTTTCTTACAGCATTTTTATGATATGGGTCATATAACTGCTTGATTCTCTTCCCTCTTTTTAAAGCTCTGTTCCTTGAAACCAATACCAAGAAAATGGTTTGAATTTCTTCCAAACCTTCAACAGAGAAAATTGTAATTTCCCAATGAGAAAATTGCATTTTAGGGAATCTGAGTATAATCTGTCACTTTGGTATGGAAAAAATGGTATTGTTTATCTTCTCAAAATTTTAAAGTTATGTTTGTTTGGCTACCCTCACTAGCTAATATAAGTTTATTTTGAGTCTAACGACAATAACCTGCACTGAATCTTGAGCGCTAGACATTCGCACCATTTACGTGACTTCTGTTTTTCATTTAGCTGAAACTTTGCCGCAAGTTCAGATGCTAACGCTGATGTTTCATCATTATCACAATATTAAACAGATGGGATCCTTCTTGGAGGCATTTTGATAATGTACCAGTTCCACAACTACATGCAGCCGATTCTCCTTCTCATGTACTCATTTTGGATACCACAAATAGTCGCCAATGTCGTCCGGGATTCAAGAAAGCCTCTGCATCCGTATTATATCTTGGGCATGACAGCGACACGGTTAGCTATACCGTTATATGTTTTTGGATGCCCACACAACTTCATGCGTGTAGAGCCCAACAAGGTCTGGTGTATATGCTTGTGCACATCCATGGGGTCGCAAGCTGTCATTCTTCTTCTTCAGCATTATTTTGGTTCACGCTGCTTTGTTCCCCGTCAGGTTAGTTTGTTCTTTTTCCATGTAAGCTACATATGAAACGTTATATCTAATAAAGCAACCACTAAGTTTTCAATTTGGGTTCAGTTTGGCTTGGATATTTCAGGTCTCTTTCCAATTGCTAAGTTGTTTTTGACTACCACTAATCTCTTTCTTCATCGTTTTGCCTACACGCAGATGCTACCAGAGAAATACAACTACCACCGAAGATTTAATCGGGACGTAAGCCGCACCACTGATTGTGTCATCTGCATGACCGCTATTGATCTCAGACAGCATACCAGTGATTTCATGGTACAGCAGTTTCTTTTGGCTTTTCGTAACTATATCTTTTTCCCCAATAGACAGAATAATGAGCGTGCTTGTTCTGAAAACAGGTAACTCCATGTGAACATTTCTTTCACTCGGGATGCTTACAGAGATGGATGGATATAAAAATGGAGTGTCCAACTTGTCGGCGTTCTCTTCCTCCAGCATAGAGGATGCGTTTCGGTTTGTTAGGATGTACAGACTTCACTCAGTTTATTGCGGGTAACAACTCAAATAGAACTTCGAAACCAAAGTTTTTTATTGATTTTTTGTCCTTGGAAGTTTCTTTGCCTATTAGGTATATATAGATAGGGTATTACTTATTTGTTAAACATTCCTGAAGTGTGATTTTGTGCAAAAACACGAAGTTAATTGCTGCAAAATTTGATTCTGAAACAGGTGGGGCTGGTTCTTAATTTCAGGTCCTGACAGAGGTTTAGAAGATTTTTAGATGAAAACAGAGCAAAGGTGGAATCTGTAACTGCGGCTAGATACCGCGGATAGACATTGTGTTCTGTATAAACTGTATAACGTTACAATCTTAGTGCATATTCTTTCACCCCACAACCAAATCTTTCACACATTTCCAGTTCTTTCAGTTTCTTTGCATACATAATATCTTGCCATTGTGCCCATACAAGTGAATCCTTATGTGTCAGCTGGACCAGGAGCAATGGAAGGTCCTGCGGTAGATGGAGCAACCAGAGGAGCCATGGCTGAGCATTCGTGGTCATAGCAGTCTATGGGGTGCTCAAGCACAGCATCACAGACGTTTTGGCTCCGCTGAAGCGGTTTATCAGGCAGACAGTTGTAGCGATCATCGATGGATATTCCTCTGGAAGTCAGGTTCCTGCAGATACCTTCTTCTTCACTGAAATAGTTGTAAGAGATGGTAAGGTTCAGCAAGCTGGGTAAAACGCAGACTCCAAGAGGGACAGTGCCAGTGAACATGTTGTGTTCCAGATTCAGCTGCTCGAGATGGCCTAGCCCGGCGAGACTGTAAGGTACAGGACCAACTAAACTGTTGTAGCTCATGTCCAGGACTCTTAACTTATAGAGATACCCGACTTCCGGGGGTAGACACCCAGATAAGCTTGAGTTGATTAGGAGAAGCTCTTCCAAGGTATCTGCAAAGCGGGCTATGGTTGGAGGCAGACAACCGCTAAAATCATTGTTGGCAAAGACGACAACAGAGGCGGTTGTTCCAGTGAAATCTCGGGGGATGAGGCTTGTTAACCGGTTGTTGTTCACAAAAATGGCATCGAGGGGATTGCTGAAGAGTTTTGGAGGCAAGGGGCCTTCAAACTCATTGTAACGAAGGTCAAGGTACTTTAGAGAAGGGAGTGCAAGGACGACATCCGGAAAAGGACCTACAAAGCGGTTGTTGCTGAGGTCAAGCTCATAGAGTAACGATAGATTGGCCAACGAACGAGGAAGGATGCCACAGAAGCGATTGCTATTGAGATGGATGAGAGCTAGGTCAGAGAGAAGGCCAATGGCTTCAGGCAGGAAACCAGCGATGTCACCATGATTGAGATCGATTCCGGCAACAACTAGAGAATTTGGATCGGAAGGAGATGGGGCACAGAAGATGCCAGTGTAGCTGCAGACTGAGGGACCGACCCAATCTGTAGTTAAGTTCTTTGGATCGGAATAGATTACCTTCTTCCATGCTTTAAGTGCACGGTACGCTTGCTGAAGATGCTGTTTAGGGTTTGCAGAGTGAGTTTTGCTGTGATGAAGGCTATGCTTTGCGGTTGATACTAAACAGACATGAAAAAGAAGAACTGAGATAAGGACAGGAAATGTTAGAGAGAGAGCCATTGAAAGAAATGTTATGGACCTTTGCTTTAAGTGTGTGGATTTATATAGAGAAACAATTATAAGTTTTGGTCTTTGGAGCAACGATTACAGAGGATGAATCAAGTGGTGGTATAGGATCAAGGAAAAGGACCCAACTCCTTACTTGTAGCTGTCTGAAGTGGTTTGAAGTGGGATCTGAGACTGACACCTTTGAAGACTAAATCTTAGTGTTGGACTTAGATCACTCATTCGCTTACAACCCAAGGAAACACAATCTGAATTATACAAACTTTAGCATAACCATACATTTAAGTTCTTTAGATCTCTCAGCTTATGTTTACTTTTAACTGATAGTATTAACTAAAACTGTTTTTTATTCCTTTTTAACTACAAAAGACATAAACATGGTATTCGTGTTTGTACAGTGGTTTTCTTTGTATTTATTCTTTTGTCAAGAAAAGTCATAGAACTAAAGAGAAAGGGCCAAAAGACACTCAATATTCTAAAAGCAACATTTATACCAACGGACACACTTGCTTTATTCATTCACAGACCTCAAGGGCTATTCTTTCATCATCCTCATAGTTTAGCCACCACCAGAGCCATACTTCTTGCCCAACACAATGAGCTGAAGTTTGTCATAGCCGGCGAGTACACCAGCGCCTGCAACGGCACGGAGGATGTTGGCACCTGCACCCTTGAAGAGTGACTTGGCCCCTTCGTTCTTGACGATCTGAGAGAAGGCCTGAAGAGAGCTCTTGTACTTCACTGCTTCACCTGACGTCATCATCATTCTTCTACGCACCGTGTCAATTGGGTAAGACGCCAGGCCAGCTCCAATGGTGATTCCCCATCCCAGCAAGAAACTCGCAAGGAAGCTATCCTGTACAGTTTAGAGCAATGAGTAAACAGTAACAGAGGACTCAATATGTTGAGTGAGGAGTTTTCTTTGTTTTGTACCTGGAGACCATCAACTAGAACCACAGGCTTCAAGGAATCATACAATCCAAAGTAAAGCCCACGGTACACGACAATTCCAACACATGAGATGTTGAAACCACGGTAAAGCCCGACGATGCCATCAGAGGCTATAGTCTTCTTGTACACGTCGACCATGCCATTAAACTGCCGCTGACCACCTTTCTTGGCCGCCTTTGCATCATTGGCCAAACGGGTACGAGCGTAATCCAAAGAGTACACAAAAAGCAGAGATGATGCACCAGCTGCACCACCAGACGCCAGGTTCCCAGCAAACCACTTCCAGTAGCCATCTTTGTCTTTCTTGAAGTTAAACAGCCTCTTGAAGTAATCTTTGAACGCAAAGTTTAAAGCCTGCAAACAGAAATCTTTGCTTAACATACCCATCCCAAAGTCTATACAAATACTACGTCGAAGAAGAGAAAACTAACCTGAGTGGGGAAGTATCTGATAACATTGGCAGTGTTTCCTCTCCAAAGAGCAACCACTCCTTCATCTTTGACTGTTCGAGCAAAACAATCACTGATTCCTTTATATGGCTCAGAGAGACGCCCAGCTTTGATCATTTCATCTTGATTCTGAATCAAGAGCTTCACACGCTCTATAGGCGCTGCTGCCGTCTTTGAAACAGCAGCTGAGACTCCCCCCATAAGGAAATCGATCAAGAAACCAGTACCAGTTTTCTCACTAGGAGCTTGAGCTAATACAGGAAATGAACCATGCGGTATAAGAGAAGAGCCAATGCCATGGTTAGTCGACTGCAATAGACTCTGCAAACCTCCATTGACATAAGCACCAGAGACACCGTAATCACGAGTTTGCACACTCGGAGAAAGTCTATTAATAAAAGAAGATTGTCCATGTAGCTTCTGAAACATCGATGGATGCTTTGATCCATCCATTTTTGTTGTACAACTCAGTAAAAGCTGATTCTGCAAAACAACAAAACTACAAATTAAACACCAAAAATTCTTGCTTTCTCGAAAATTTCTATACTTGCATGCTTAAAAAGAGTGATCATAACCAAAACTGGAACAGAAACAGAGAAGGCATCATCAACACATTTCATAACATCGTATTTAGCTTCGTTTAAAGCCACCATTTCAATCTATGAACTATAATGCAACCTAATTCACAAATTTCAGCACAAATTAAAACCTAGTTGCAGCTCAAATTAAATCCGCTGTTTCTAAAAGATCAAGCAACGAGTGGCGTCGAGAAAACCGAATTCACGAGAAGAAGAAGAATAAAACAGAGGGAACTAAGAGAGAATCATCAATGATAAAGCTAGAACTTCTGGAGTCGAGAGCTTACCGTAGATTTTTCGCCGGAGCGTTAACGAGAGAGAGAGCTCTGGAAAAGAAGAGTAGGGTTCTACACGATTCTGGTCCTAAACTAAAAAGACGAAAATGGGCAGAAGATTATCTGAAATTACGAAAATGCTACTGGACTCCTTTGACACGTGTCTTTCTGGGCCCAATTTTAGGGGTCCCGAGTCTTGACGATTATTTTATATTATCTGTTTTTTGTTTATCTTAAACTTCTTTTAAATGGATCCAAAAATTAATTTCCTAGGAAGATATATTTCACACCTAATGAAAGTGAGAGACCTCTTTATCATTATGTGATATGTCTCACTACTTGAAAATTAAAAATAGAAAGTGGGAAAATAATCATATCTTTTTTGGTTTGCTGAATGATACAAGTAGAGACTTGTTAATTAGGTTTTCAGAAGCAAGAAAGGTAGCTGAATAATTTTTTCTTCTTCAGACGGACAAAACGTTACAGATGCAAGGAAGGTGATGGTTCGAATTTGGTGATCCAAACCATACGTATTGAGAGTGCCGGATTATATGCAATTAAGTCGGCTCATGTATTAGATAACAAGTCATTTAACAGATGTCATGTGATGTAAATAAACCCGAATTACATGCAATAACCTTAATGTGTAAGTAAATTATTCTAAGAGGCCCAAGCCTCTGTGGTCTAGTGGCAGAGGAAGCTTTGGTGAAGGGTGAAACTCCCAGACCCGAGTTCGATTCTCCCTGGAAACAAAAACACATTTGTTTGGGAAGTCTGTCAGTTGGGCCTTGGCCCAATTGGTTTACCTGGTAGTCAGAAATGCAGGCGGCCTGACTACCCCCTGGCATTAGTCGGAAGGCATTCCAAACTCGGATCAGGCAGTGTGGTGGCCCAATTCTACCTGGATCGGGAGAAGTCCACTCTGTAGCACTTCGGTGCGTTCCTACCGAAGCCGACCGGATCAGCCGATAGGGTTTATCAAAAAAAATTATTCTAAGAGATTCAAGAAAACTCAAAGAGAACTCAGCTAGAATTCATCCGAGTAAGAAGGAAGCATGATAATTACATGTGTTCATTAAACTAACCATGCATAATAAACTCCACCATAGAAACAAATTTATTATATATATATATATAGATTTGTGATCGCGAACCATCCCACCTTCGCTAGTATACTCAGTTAAACAGATCGATGAAGATACATCGTGCTATATTGGTCGTGACGTTCTTTGTCATGATGAAGACCGCAGTTTCCCAGGACAATGATCCGATGGCTCACTGCAGGGACGTGTTCGTAAATTTCATGCCGTGCATGGGCTTCGTCGAGGGAATATTCCAACAACCTTCTCCAGATTGCTGCAGAGGCGTGACCCACTTGAACAACATCGTCAAGTTCACGTCTCCAGTTACTACTCTCTCTCAATTCTTAATTCTTCGAGTTCGGTTTCTTCTTTCACCATCAATTATATTAACTACGCAGGGATCGAGGAATAGGCAGGACAGTGGAGAAACAGAGAGAGTGTGTCTGTGCATAGAGATAATGGGAAATGCAAATCATCTTCCTTTTCTTCCCGCTGCCATTAATAACCTTCCTCTCCGTTGTTCTCTTACTCTCAGCTTTCCCATCTCCGTTGCTATGGACTGTTCTCAGTTATTTTCATTCTTCTCCCCATAATTTTTTTTGTTGCTTATTTTTTAATCTTTTCCTAGAAAATTAAATGTTATTTTGTTACATTTTTCCTTGTGCATAAAAGAGCTAATGAACTGGTATAATTTTTTCGTTACAGGCTCAGAAACACCAAGAATCCCGACGTTGAAAAATTAAATTAACTACCAGGGTATATATATGTATGAATGTTGGGATGGGAAGCATTGTAACAGTTATATAGTTAAAAAAAGAAATGATATATAGTCGAGTTTACTGTAAATGTAATAGTGACTAGTGTTACAAAAGTACCTAGAGTTTTATGTAAGCGATTATATGGCTTGATTGGGTTCTATTATATTTCTTAGTTTTTACCATAACCATTATTATAGGAAGAAAAAAAAGTGAGTATTGTCCATTAAGAAACAAAAGCCATAAATATTGAAGCCGTAACGACAAATTTTTTGCTCTCGCGACATTTCTACACTTACATTGACAAAGTAATAGAAAAATCATCATCGACACTTAAATATATCATAACATAACGAGGCTTTTACAAAGAGGGACGTAATTTAATATATATATATTTTTTTTAACAGATGAGTAATGGCACCAACTTAAAAAATACATCCATTATTCACTTCAACATAGTAGATCAAAGCCACCATATCAATCGATCAGCTACAATATAACGTTGCATAATTTCCATATACCAAGACCATCTATTTACCCATCTTCAGTTCACTCGCAACCCTCCATCTCTAAGGTCAAGCAGTGAGTAGCCCAGGAAAACCGAATTCACAAGACATACAACTATGTGAGAGCAAAATTAGGAGAAGCATTGATTGGTAAACCTAGAATATGTGGAGTCGAAAGGGAATCCATGGGAGCTTACGGACGCTTTGTGAACGTAAACGAGAGACCAAAAGTAGTAGGACTTTGCATTTTGGGTCATGTCATCCGACCCACCCCTACCTGACCCAAAATTATCTAAATTTAATTGATGTAAACGTAAATTGATTTTGTTTTTGGGCGCATAGAGATTTATTTCGAAGTAATAGGGGTACAAATCGGATAATAATCCGAGATATCCGCAATTAGATAATTAAAAATTTGCAAATTTTTATCTTAATTTGTTTTCAAAATTACTATGAATCACCCGTAACCTAACACATGCTATCTAAATTATCCAATTTTTTTGAAAATATTTATATAATTCGGATAATAATTTCATTTTCAGACCTCACGAAGTTTAGAGACCTTTTAAGCATTATGTCCAACTACTTCAAATATATAAAGTGGGAAAAAATTATAAAGACTAATTAGGTCTAACAAATTAACCTACACAAAATGCATGTTTACTTAACGAAGGAAGCACGAGAGTTACATGTTTCTCTTTAAACTAACCAGCTTATTATTTACTAAATACATATATAGATTTGTGATGAAACACGGATCATCTTTAATTACCTTGGCTAGTACTCGTCAATATCAGTTAGTTACCTACTAATATAAGATGCATCGTGCTCTATTGCTTATGACACTAATCACGTCCGCGGTTTCCATGAGTGAAGAAGAGCATTGCAGGGACATGTTCGAGAGCTTTATTAAAGGAATATCTCTGGAACCTTCTCCACAGTATTGTAGAGGAGTGAGCCGCTTTAATAACGTCCTCAAGCTCACGTCTCCAATTACTGTAATTGATTCTTACTCTCTCTTTTTTTTTTTTTTTTTTCGAAAGCCGGTTCTTTAACCGGTGGGATTACTGAAAGTTACTATATGCAGTTGCAGGGATTGACGAAGAAAAAAAGGAAGGGGAAAATAGGGGGACGGTGTGATTGCCCGGAATTAGATGTAATTTGGAAAATAAGATGTAAACCTTGCGCACACAGCCCAGACTCGAATGTCACAGAATCTGAATCACAACATGTGTTGATGTGAGTGTTCAATAGATCCATGTGGGGATATGCATGCATTCTAAGAAAGATGATCTTATATAGTTTCCTTTTATCTTATAGTTTTCTAGTGTTTCTTCACTTACGTTTATCTTAGTTTTCTAAGTTGTATAGATATTGTCATTTAATAAGAAAAAGAAATGTCACCCATGCAAACGTTTTGAACGTAACAAATTTCGATTCATATTCGAACTTTGATGATCTATTGTTTATGTTTTAACCAAAGTTTATCGCACTTGATCCTCGAAATTCACATTTTAATTATCTTAGTAACATAGAGAGGATGGGAAAAGCAGAGCATTTTCTTGTTATTTTCTCCTCTTGGATGCCTCATACTCCCCTTTTTACCAATGCCTCTGTTTTTGGTGATCATGTGTTTTGTTTTTTTCAGATAATAGTAGTATTAAACTAAAATAAATTAAAAGTCCACTTATTACTGCCAAACAGTGAGGTTCTGCTTTCCATAATTAATGATAGAATAACTTTTGTCCTTCATTTACCTTTTTTTTTTGTTCAATCAATGACGACTTGTACCTACCACCACCTCTCTCGAACGTTTCCATCATATACAATTTCATTACATTAATTACTTTTTTATGAACCAACTTGGTGTTTTAGTCGTCCAAATTGACAAGGCTTGACTCGAAGATAAGAACACAATAATATGCCCATCCACAGAAGACAGTAAAAGCTTTTCAGAAATTCTATATAAAAGATGTCAAAATATTTGGATGTTGTAAAAGATGATATTTGGTCATTTGGTAAAAGATGAACACAAGATAGAAAACAATGCAGTGTATAGTGCGTTGGTGCAAAACGTCACTAATCGGAAGTTATGTAGTTCTTGTTCTTGTAACGATTGTAAAACTCTGGTTTTATAAAACATAAATCTATAATATTTACAGCCAAGTTGTGAGTTATTAATCTATAACTTTTGACTAATATATTGATAACCACTATCACTTAGTCTATTTAATTTTTAATCGCAAAAACATAAAAACGTCTAATAAATCAATAAAGGGTGATAAAACTAATCACTAACTCTTCAATTCCTATTTTTATCAGTCACGAAACCTTGATTAGACAAATCACCAACTCTTTGACCCCAAGTATATGTGTGTGATTGTTACTAAGATCTTTATCCTCTAGTCTTGATGATCAAATTGAATAAACTCTTGGGATAATTGGGGATTTGGAATAATGACTCCTCCTCTGAGTTTCCATCACTTTGAACTATATGATAATGTATTATTTTCTAAAAGATGATTCTATTATTATGTGCTTGACGTAAAAATTCAATCTACAATTTGGAAAAATTGGAGGCTTACTACAAAGGACGACCTGGAAGGAGCCAAGAAGAGTCTGAGAAAGTGAATATTATCGAATGAGCCGACAAGAATTTGTGGAGAGCAAGAACATGAAAACAAAAGTATAGTGTCGTACTTGCTTCATTTAATTTATTAGGAACCAAAATGTACGCATAATCGCAACAAAATAAAAAAAGAAAAGTCGAAAAGGACATCTTCATTAAACAAAGATAAAATCAAGGACAGTTGGGAATATTGTTGTACACGATTTTCCAACAAAATTCCTAAGTTTTTGTTTTATGGTAGATGATGAAATTAAGAAAATGGTACTAGTGTGAATTTCTTGCCGTTATATTTTCTTATTGGTTTCAATATCATCTTTCATTAAAATGTTACGTGAAACATAAATTTATTTCACAGCATTAAATAGATGCTTATTTTGTGACATGTAATTTATCAAATTGACGCATAACAAAACTACTATAACAGTAGAATTTATCAACGCAATTATTTTTTATTTTACCATAAAATAAAATAAACAAAAGAAAGGGGTGAAAATAAAGGGGAAGAAGAAAAGTCGTGAGAGGAGAACGCGTTGGCAAAGGAGGACGCAGCCGATAAAATGTTACAGTCACCGAGCAGTTCACATTTCCTTAACATCTTCTGGGAAAGTCAAAACCATTTATAAACCCATAATCTTCTTCCTCTTCCTCTCTGTCTCTCTTCATAATTCTTGTTTGCGTCATTCATTCATCACACAGAGTCAGAGGAATCGTCTCAAAGCTTTCTCAGAAATGGCAGGCAGTAATATTCTCCATAAGATTAAGGTACTCTTATTCTTCTTCTTTGATGGTACTAGTGTTAGAACTTCTTGATCTGATCTATTTTGAGTTCATTTTTCTCTGTTTTGGACCTGGAATCAGTTTCTCTGTTGTTAGCTATTTCTATTATTGGTAAAAAGTTTGAAACTTTTTTGAGAACTAAAAAAAATGTTTAAGTGAGTGAGTTAAGAAGATAAGATCCTTTAGCTTTATCAAGAAAATAAGGTTGTTCCTTTAGAAATTTATGGTTTTTGGCTGATCCATTGAAAATTCACGAGGTCTTTCCTTTTCCTACTCACGGGTATGAAGGAATCTGACGAAATTCTACATACCTGTTAGCTTTTACTGAAAAAAACTCCAACTTTTGAGGTGGGTTTGTCTGAAGAATCTGTGCATAGATCTCTGTTATGCTTGTGGTTGTTCATGGGTGTGGTGATAAAGAAGTTAGATTTAGATGACTCCAGGAAGACTTTAACTGCTTTGACTTGATCTTTTGTGGTTGGAGTATTAACTCTACTGTTTTTCTCTGAATCAGTTAAAGGCTGGGTTCTGTGGATCCGCTCCTGACATGGGAAGAGGCAAAAGCAAGATGTGGAAGAACATCACCCACGGTTTTCACTGTGTGAAGGGCAAGTCCAGCCATCCAATGGAGGATTATGTAGTGTCTGAATTCAAGAAACTTGAAGGGCATGAATTGGGCTTGTTTGCCATTTTTGATGGTCACTTGGGTCATGATGTGGCTAAATACTTGCAGACTAATCTCTTTGACAACATTCTTAAAGAGGTAAATCTTTAATTTTGTCAAGAAATCTCTTTAGGGTCAAAAGGAGAAACCTTTGTGAATGATTCTTTGTTCTTTTTTGTGTTTCTGCAGAAGGATTTTTGGACTGACACAGAGAATGCTATAAGGAATGCGTACAGATCAACAGATGCTGTGATATTGCAGCAGTCCCTTAAGCTTGGTAAAGGCGGATCAACCGCTGTAACGGGAATTTTGATCGACGGTCAAAAGCTAGTTGTTGCTAATGTTGGAGACTCCAGAGCAGTGATGTCTAAGAATGGTGTTGCGCATCAGCTCTCAGTCGATCATGAACCAAGCAAGGAGAAAAAAGAAATAGAGAGCCGAGGCGGCTTTGTATCCAATATTCCAGGTAAAACTACCTTTTTCGTTCTGCCTAGTCATGGTTTTGGTCTCCTTGGGTTAGTTGGTGTAAAATGGTGTTAATTTACTATCCTAAAATGTTGCAGGGGATGTTCCACGAGTTGATGGACAGTTAGCGGTTGCAAGAGCATTTGGAGATAAGAGCTTAAAGATACATCTGAGCTCAGAACCGGACATAACACACCAGACAATTGATGATCACACTGAATTCATCCTTTTCGCCAGCGATGGTATTTGGAAAGTAAGTCTAATGACTCGGTATCTTACTCTGATTCTAACCATGGGTTAGCCAGTTTCTGGACCACTTCTTCTAACATGATGGTCAATGTTTATAACCGCAGGTATTATCGAACCAAGAAGCGGTTGATGCTATCAAGAGTATCAAAGATCCGCATGCAGCTGCAAAGCACTTGATAGAGGAAGCTATATCTAGGAAGAGCAAAGACGACATCTCCTGTATCGTTGTAAAGTTCCACTAATCTTTTCTTTCCGAAAGCTTTTTATTTGTCTATAAGTTACCATATCAAGTTTGCAAGATAGAGAAATATATGCTCAAGCTGTGTCTGTAAAACCCAGTAATGAGGTTTCCCAGAAGATGTAATATATTAAGTTAGCTTGGTTTTTCTTCACAAAAAAATGAAAATAACAAATCGTGACAGCCTTAAGATACAAAACAAAGATGTTCTTCGTAGTTCTGTCATCTTTAAGCCTCCTCTGCTCTGCAGAAATAGAATAACAAGAGACAGTATATTGTCAGCTTTAACATATACAAAAGCAAGCAAGCAAAAACTTTTAGTGGATCAAAGCAATGAAACTTACAAGCGCATGTGTGGTCTCTAGACATAGGAAAGCCAGAGCTAAAATGGCACTGGTCGGAGAGGGCCAAAACGTCTGGCCTGAGTGGTTTGATGGCTGTGGTCAGAAACTCCATACACCGGCAAAGCCTTCGCCTCTCCTTCGCATTCTTATGGCGGCTACTGAACCAGCGGCAACACTCGGCAGTGGGCGGAGACTCCTGATGGACGAAGAACATCTTGCACTGTTCCACCATCACGTTCGCAACGTCTACGCACTCTGGCGGCCAAGGACGGTACACCGCGCCGGCTGTTGTGACTGCAACAAAAAGACACGTCAATGCAAACGCTACTTTCATCATCATCATACTAACCATGTAGCAATTTCTTTTGTTTTATTTTTGTGTTGGTCTTATTATATATCTCGACCTAATAAACGTAATCGTGACACTATCTTAAATACTTCAACAGAAAATTCAACTTAGTAACGCATGCGAGATTTAATGCTTTCGGCCGCGTGGGAACTAATTAAAACAAAAAAAAACGGTGACTTGAGCGTTTCTCGTATTCAATGGACCATTGGGCAATGCTAGTGTATGTGTGTGGTGAAGTTGTTAATAATAGTTCACAAATGAAAGGTATTATTTTGCCTTTCTATCCGCAATCTCATTTCTAACTCAATTTGTAAACATCACTTTGACCTCCTTCACAAGGTTGAGCAGATTACGTGTGTCTTGAAGGACTGGTTTTAGGGCTGGCCATTGTTCATCTGCATTTAGCATCGTTACAAGCTCTAGAGCCCATCGCATCGCCTCAAGTTCCATCTCTAACACCGACCTCGTTCGTGGGGTAGCTTTTGCTCTCATCCATAACACTTGCCCATATTTTCCTCTTATTAAATAGCCCATTCATTCACGAGGTGGTTATAGTTCTTTTATTATTATTAGTATTACAGTAAAACCTCTATAAATTAATAATGTTGGGACCATGGTATTTTATTAATTTATAGTGATATTAATTTATCTATAAATTAATAAGTATTAATTTATAGCGTAAATTAATATTTATTAATTTATAGAAAGTTTTTTTTCAATTGTGAAAACTTTTTTTTTTAAATACGAGGTAGAGCAATGTGATCTAAATAAAATTAATGTTTTGGATGTTATAAAATTTATAGTTTTAGCTTTAAACACTTAATATTTGAAGAGAAAATAATTTATTTTGACAATGAATCACAACGATTATAGAATTCACATATACAAACGATATACATAAATTAAAATTCACAAATAGTAACATCCATTGTTGTATTTTAAAAACCTATACAACTATTAAAACAAAAATTATGCATATTCAAAATTTGAAAACTTACAAAAACTTTTGGTTATTTTTATGATAAACATTAAAACTATTATATATATATATATATGTACCAATTTACATGATTATTAATTTATGATATTATTGGGACTATATTTTTACATAGGGATTTCAAAAAAATTATTATCTTATTATCTTATCGAATTTGGTTAATTTTTACATTGGCCCGACTTGGGACTGGACAAATTTATTAATTTATCGTGTTTATTAATTTATCGAGTATTAATTTATAGAGGTTCTACTGTATATAGAAAGAAAGAATAACTAAAAGACGACTATAATTAAACACATCATGAATGCCTGAATGGCCCATTTCATATTGAATAACATGTACCAACAATCATGTATATTTACGGATTAATCTCTTCTTATATATATATATCCAAATGATAATCTAATTTATGTTTGTGCTTGTCGCTAGTGGCTCGTGGGTAGCATTTAAGCATGGGTTAGTGCTTGTGTGACTTGTGTCCTAGTAGCTCGAATGATGGAGCGCACATTCAAAACTGAGCACAAAACAAAAATAACAAAAAAAAATAACCTAACTTATGTTTCATGCTTATATATATGATTCCACTTTCACAAAAGAAAAAATAAACCAAGAGGAAGAAGTTCACTCGGAGCGATGAGTCAACACATGAACCTGTTCGTTCCTTCTTTTGAAACGGATCAAGAGGAGGACATTGCACGCAAGACGACGGAAAATGGAGGTGACAGTGGCGGCGTCTGGAGGTTCAAAGGCAACAAAGCGGCCAAGGAAGCGGCTAGTGTCTCAATGAAAGGTACCCTTGCTAGGTTATTCGACTGCTGCAGCAAAGACGTCAAAAAGACTATTTTGCCCCTGGGTCACGGCGACCCATCCGTCTACCCTTGCTTCCAAACTTCCATTGACGCTGAGGAAGCGGTGGTTGAATCCTTACGGTCTGGCGCCGCCAACTCTTACGCCCCAGGGGTCGGTATTCTACCGGCCAGAAGGTAATTAAATAGTTTCTAATTGTTTCATTAATATGTTTTCTTTTAAAGTTATCCAATACTGTATTTATATGACAAAGTTTAACTTACTATATTAGGTGAATATGTTAGTTAGACGTAGCACTAGTTGAATATGGATTGGAAAGAGAATAACTAAGAAATACGTAGCACTAGTCAGGGCCGGTCCTTGTGTTCGTGTGGCCTAAAGCTTAAAAAATGTTTTGTGACTTCACTCTATTTTCCTAATTTTGAAAACACTAAATAAAAACAGTGAAATTTGCAACAAAGACAGATAATATGAATTAAAAAAACTAAAAAAAATTGATATGTCAAATAAAAACTGTTAAAGTTATAACTAAATTTTTTAAAGTTTAAAAGCCAAAATTATACCTTTTTAACCAAACTATTGAAGTTTGTTCAAAAAAAAAAAAAAAAAAAAAAAAACCAAACTATTGAAGCAAAAGTCTTAAAACCAGAATTAGAAAGTGAGATGTGGGAACACAGAGAATGATTTTCAATTTTAGGGATGTAAAAAGAAAAACTAAAAGTAGAATGTGTGGAATAGGAATCGAACCATTATTAATTTGCACCACAAGAAATGATTGAAGACCAATAGACTAACGTCTCTTATTGTTGTGTGGCCCTCAAATTCAGATTATAATGTGTGGCCTAAAGCACATGCTTTGCTTGCCTTAGGCAAGGGCCGGGCCTGGCACTAGTTGAGATGTTACTGCTTAAGTTATAACCAGTGTTAAAAAAACGGTTAGAGGGAATTCATCGCTCAGAGCATATGCAAGGGGGGAACACTTGGTGTGTTCTTAAGGGTTTTAAAATAATAAAAATGTTGAATAGTGGATACAACTGTTCTTAAAATTATAAAAACTGTTCTTCAGGAAGAACAGTTTGCAGGATAAGTTAGAACTGTTCTACCACTGTTCACCTTATTTCCTATTTTTAAATCCTAAGAACACACTCAAAAGTTCCCCCCTTGCATATGGTCTCATGTAGCGCCTAAAGTTATAATCTAGATGCTTTATGAGATTGAATTTGAAACAATTTTAATTTAGTTTTCCAAAATCCTAAATTCCAGAAAGTCTTATTATATTTACTATAACATGTGAAACTATGATCATATTAAATTAGGGCGGTAGCAAATTATCTGAACCGGGACCTTCCACATAAGCTGAAATCCGATGATATATTTATAACGGTGGGGTGTTGCCAAGGGATAGAGACAATGATTCATGCCCTCGCCGGACCAAAGGCCAATATCTTGCTCCCGACTCTAATCTATCCCCTCTACAATAGTCACGCAATCCACAGCCTAGTCGAGATTCGCAAGTACGATCTCCTTCCCGATCAAGACTGGGAGATAGATCTCCAAGGTGTTGAGGCCAGCGCAGATGAAAATACCATTGCAATAGTGATAATGAATCCTCACAACCCATGTGGAAATGTCTATACATATGAACATCTAAAGAAGGTACGTGAAAGGTGAAAAAAATAACTTATGATTTACTTTCTTTGAACAAAACTTCTGTTATGCTATATTTTATTATGAAATATAGGTGGCTGAGGTGGCGAGAAAGCTAGGAATAATGGTGATTTCTGATGAAGTTTATAACCAAACTATTTATGGAGAGAATAAATTTGTCCCGATGGGGATATTTTCATCCATTGCTCCTGTGGTTACACTTGGGTCCATATCCAAGGGATGGCTCGTTCCCGGCTGGCGAATAGGTTGGATCGCAATGAATGATCCCAAAAACGTTTTCAAAACCACTGGGGTCAGTTTTTCAATCTCTCAATCGGCAGAAGTTATTAGAAGTAAACATCGTCCTATTGGACATGATGGTAAAACATTTTGTGGACATGAGTCTATTTGAACATCGAACAATACTTTGTTGTCAATAGGTCGTTGAATCCATAAAGGAACATCTCGACATAAGTCCAGATCCATCAACAATTCTGCAGGTTTTTCTTATGATGATACTTAATGCTTCATATGAAACATGCACAAATGCAATGAGTTTTGTGTATATATGCAATAGCTAATGTGTTGCCTTGTTTAATCGGAAGTTTGCACTTCCAAACATCTTGGAGAAGACGAAGAAAGATTTCTTTGAGAAGAATAACTCTATCCTGAGTCAAAACGTAGATTTTGCGTTCGATGCCCTCAAGGACATTCCTTGCCTCACCTGCCCCAAGAAACCCGAGTCGTGTACTTACCTAGTGGTACCAATTTCTCTTTTACCAACATATCTTTACATACTTTTTTTTTTTTTAGCATCACAACATATCTGTATATATTAAAATTTATGCTAAAAGAGATATTAATCCAAACTACAACTTTTTTGAACCATTAATTATCTCAAGTATCTAACAAAAATATTTTATGTTATAACAAAAACATCACCAATAATGAATGTTACATATCACACGCAAAAAAAATCGTATGTAAGAGAAGTTTCATTAATCCTAACGTAAATGATATATATTGAAGACAAAATTGGATCTGTCCCTCCTGGAGGACATCACGAATGATGTTGATTTCTGCATGAAGCTGGCCCGAGAGGAGAATCTCGTCTTTCTACCTGGTAATCAATATTATTTACATTGTACCATCTTTTCAGGTAATCAAAATCTTTATAAATATAAAATTTAAAGAGATATGGGTTGGTTTGGAATATATATAATGCAGGAGAGGTATTAGGACTGAAGAATTGGGTGAGATTTTCTATCGGAGTGGAGAGGTCAATGCTAGAAGATGCTTTCGTGAGGCTCAAAGGCTTCTTCGCTCGCCATAGTAAAACACAACTCACTTAAAAAGTCGCTTTCAATTCTCAGAACTACGGATCCTGAGACCTATCTTTCATTTTATTGTACTTTTTTCTGTTCATTTTCTTTTGGATTATGTTCGAAACTTTGGTTTATTGTTTGCGTGTGTATGGTTGTCCGTTGGAACGTCGTTTTAATTGACTTAAACATGACGGCGCAGCTTCTTATATATTTAATTAACAATATTGGATATGGGGTTGATCAGAACGAAGAATAGATGATGATAAAACAATTCAACTACTGTTTATAGTTAGTCTTAAAAATGATAAAAGAAAATTTTACTTGATCCTAAATTAAATAAACCATTATACTGGCTGATTTTTATAAAGCTTTTAGCTGAATTCTTACTTTATACTGGCTGATTTTTGTTGAAACTTATATGAATAATTTATTAAAAATTATTATGATGTGGCAGCTTTGATTGGTTAATTTCTTTTTAAAGTACTTTAATTTATTATAAAAGAATAAAAATCAAATCAACGGTTATTATTATTTTGTCTATAAAAATAATTGTATATGGATGGTCAAGATTAATTAGAGAAAAAAAACGCGATTTACTATTTTTATTTAGCGAAAAGACATTTTCTGAAGAGTTGTATTTCTTCGTTAACTTTTGCGTCTCTGCTAACATAATCAGCGTAATAAAAAGTAAATCAACTGTTCATATCGAAAAAAATTAACTTCGGTCTCTTCTCCTAACCCTTCGTCTCCAATGGTTGCGATTTTTACGTCTCACAACCATACGTTTCTTCATATATATAGATTTCTAAAAACCGTTTTTTTTTTACCAACTTTTTCGTTTCACTCTCGATTTTACTTTGTTCTCATGGATTACTCACTTCTCCGTCCATACGTTGATTAAATGTACTTAATAGTTTTTGACCAAGTATATTTTACAACATGTATTTTTATTGGTTTCCAAGTTCTGTATCCCATAGGCCATAGCTTTACTCGGTCAAATGATGCACTGTTCCATTCAAACAACACTTAGATTATGAATGATATATGTTACGTACTATGACATTTAATTTGTTTTTATAAGTATTCAATGTCATTAGAATAATTTCAGTCTCGAAAGCGCAGATTCAAAGTCATTATAATATTTTCCTATGTACAAAGTCTCTGTTCAGAGAACGGCGCCAGCCACACGTTGTTTTCAGAAGAGTAAAGACAAAAGTGAAATACCATAAAATCAAGCATCGACGAAGATAAGGTAGAAATACGTTTTTTTATCTATCGCTGTCACAGGTTGACCGTCCTATATTTTCTGTATGGTGAGTAATCCTTAATTTATTACTAGGATATTAAATCTGCGTAGATTTAATTCTTTAGAATTTTCTTTTGAATGTTTGATTAGATGAAATTATTAAAATTTGTAAAAAAATATTTCTCACAAAATCTGATATATAGGATAAAAATAAAAGCCGAAAAAACTAGCTTAGAAATTACCAAATCGAAACATTACCCAATAGATAGGAGGAAATTATAATCAAATTTCCATTCTAAAACATGACTTAGCAATGTTAATTTATCAAAAATTTACTTTTCAGGGTCTATTTCCTAGTATAATTAATGAAAAAGATTAATTAGTCCGATCCTCCTTACGTGTATTTTGAAAAAAAAAACTGTACGCATATGTAGGTATCACCAATATTCTCACGACACATAATTCATCTTCTTCTTTTTCATGGGAATTCGACCGACGGAAATTTCACGTTAATCAACTTTTGGCTTTTTTTGGGTCACGCACTGACGCACATTATTCAAAGTCTGTAATTCAAAGGTACAGAAAGTCTTCTTGAACATCTTCATTTATTGATGAGTCTCTTAAATGAGGTTCTTAAGAGCATGTGCCAGTGGAAATCTCTCACCCAAGTCTCTCATGCAAAAAAAAACAATAAAATAATAATAAATATTATTTAATTATGAGAGTCTCTCAAAAATGTGGAAAAAGTCTCTCAAGTGAGAGTCTCACCAATTTTTTGAGAGACTCTCATAATTATATAATACTTTTTATTATTTTATTATTTTCATTTTGTTTGAGAGACTTTTGTGAGAGACCCCCATTGCACATGCTCTAACTACATAATATTATAGTTTAGTTCTATAATTAATTTAAATTTTAAAAAGGAATTGAACTACTTGTAGTAAGCCAAGCCAAATGTCATTTTAGAGTTTCTAATGGATTTCTCATCTCTCCCAAATAAATAAATAAAACCATTTCATTCTCTATCTTTCTTTTGTATTATTTTTCATTTTTTAATGTTAGAAATTCTTTTTAGACACTCTTAATGGAGGTGTTCTGTTTCATAATTCATCTTCTTCAAATATTACGGAAATTGCACGTTAACTTTTGGCTTTTTTTTTGGTCACGCACATCACGTATCATACTTTATTATTAATCTTATTCAAAGGTAGAGAAAGTCTGCTACGAACTGCAGTTTACTATTGACAATCTGACTGAACTTAGACAAAGTCTACGGTTAACAATTAGAATTTTTATCCAAAGAGTTCCGATTGTTTTACTTCTTCTATAAATACCTTTATTGACCTCTTCATATAAACAAACATTTAGATTTCAAAATTTACATAACATACTCCGAGCGAATTTATTAACAATGAACCACAACAGCAACCTCGTTCTTCCTGCCTATCAAACCGAGACGCACACGCAAAATGAGACCGATATCAGCGTTTGGCGTTTCAGGGGCAGCGACACGGCAGCCAAAGCCTCCAGCGTCACTATGAGAGTCATCGTCTACAAGCTCTTCGATGAATGCAGCCTGGATGTGAAAAAGCCTCTTTTACCCCTTGCTCATGGTGACCCTTCTGTGTACCCTTGCTACCGCACGTCTATCCTCGTCGAGAACGCCGTCGTCGACGTCATCCGCTCCGGCAAGGGTAACTCTTATGGCCCCGCCGCCGGAATCCTCCCGGCTAGACAGTAATATTTTCTCTTCATTTACTCTTAATTACTCTGTTCCTGCAACCATTCAAAACCTAAAAGTATTTTCATTGAATGTTTTGTTAATCAGGGCTGTTGCTGATTACGTGAACCGAGACTTGACGAACAAGGTAAAGCCTAATGATGTATTCATTACTGTCGGATGCAACCAAGGGATAGAAGTCGTGCTTCAATCGCTGGCTCGACCAAATGCTAACATCCTTCTCCCACGGCCTAGTTACCCTCACTACGAGGCTCGTGCCGTCTACAGTGGGCTCGAGGTCCGCAAATTCGATCTCCTTCCGGAGAAAGAATGGGAGATTGATCTCCCAGGCATCGAAGCCATGGCAGATGAGAACACTGTCGCGATGGTTATCATAAACCCTAACAACCCCTGTGGAAATGTTTACTCTTACGATCATCTTAAGAAGGTACTAATTCATAATTATAATTTGCTTAAACTCGCGGGAGACTCGAAAAATTGGTGCTAATGAATGAATACTTTATAGGTGGCTGAGACGGCTAAGAAGCTGGGAATAATGGTGATCACAGACGAAGTATATTGCCAGACAATCTTCGGAGACAATCCTTTTGTTCCAATGGGGGAGTTTTCTTCGACAGTTCCGGTTATCACTTTGGGCGGTATATCGAAAGGATGGATTGTTCCTGGTTGGAGAATTGGCTGGACCGTTTTGAATGACCCCAAAGGAATTTTCAAATCCACAGGGGTCTGTTTTTTTTACCGATTATCATTCTAACTTGTGTTTTTGTAGCTTGTGTTACAAGTAATCACTCTGTTTTTTCCTTTTTTTCTTGTAACAGATGATACAGTCCATCCAACAGAATCTTGACATAACTCCAGATGCTACAACAATTGTTCAGGCTGCACTTCCTGAGATTCTAGGGAAAGCGAATAAAGAGATGTTTGCGAAGAAGAATTCGATGCTGAAACAGAACGTGGAATTGGTTTGCGATAGGCTCAAGGACATTCCTTGCTTGGTCTGCAACAAGAAACCTGAGTCATGCACTTACTTATTGGTACAACAACCAACGTATCTTACACTCTTTCATGATTCCTGATCAATTTGGATGATTCTTAACAAAAAACAAATAAACTGCAGACGAAACTGAAGCTTCCATTATTGGAGGACATAGAAGACGACATGGATTTCTGTATGAAGCTAGCCAAAGAAGAAAATCTAGTCTTACTACCAGGTAAATACAATCAAACGAGTACATAAAATCAATATTGAAAATCCATTAGTTATCAAAAAAGTTTAAAGATTATAACTTTTCTTGGTTTTGCAGGAGTGGCTTTGGGATTGAAGAACTGGATAAGGATAACAATTGGAGTAGAAGCTCAGATGCTGGAAGATGCACTTGAGAGGCTCAACGGTTTCTGCAAACGCCATCTCAAGAAAACAGAGTCTTCTTTTCAAGCTTTGAGCAATGGCAAAATCTAAACCACTCATCAATAGAGACTATACAGTATACACAACCAAATAAAAACAGTATACACAACCAAATAAAATCTGTAATTTTTGCGGTGGAATAAACAATAATCCTTTCGCTTAATCATGTCATTTTCAATTAAGAAACTCTATGTTTCTTAATCTGATTTCTTTGCTTTATTCAAAGGAAAAAAATATCCAATGAATAATGTTATTCAAGACTTTAATCTTTACCGTTAAAAGAGACGGACCCACTTTGCCGCCGTCAATATTCAAAAAAGCAAAAGATTTGTCTTTTTTCTCCATCAACGGCTCTCTGATCCACAGTAGCCGGAAAAAAAAAAGCAGAGAGCTCAAATTGTCGGAGAAATAAGAATCCCCAAATCACATCTTCAAGAACCCTAATAAATTCCCAGAGATTCCTCTCATTTAATCACTTCAGATTCGAAAGTTTCTCTCTTTTTCCAAAAACCCCCTTTTCAAATAATGGATACTACTACTACGCCTCCTTCTCTCCGTTCGAACCCTAGATCCGCGTTGCGTCTTGCTCGAAACAACAACACTCTTGTCAAATCTCACATTCCATCTCTCGATTTGGTTCTATCGTCTCCGAGGAACAACGGTACTCCTTACCCATCACCTGTTTCTCTCAACTCTCCATCTTCTCCTGTTACTCTTCGCGAAATCCTTCTTTTATCTCCTTCTCATCTTCGTAAATCGAGAACCCGTTTAAGCAATCGGTTCGATATGGAAGCTGCGGAGGCTGCTGTGGCGGCACGGCGATGTAAGACAAAAGGAGGGCAAAATGGTCTTTTGACTTGTGCCTCGCCGTCGCCGAGAAATTTCCGGAGGTCGAGACTAAGGTCGGAGGCGATGGTAGATTCAAAGGAAAATACGGAGCCAATTGTTGTCCTGACCGATGAAAAAAAACAGAAACCGAGGAAACAGAAGAAGACTGGTCGATCTAAGAAGGAGAAGCACAGTTCTGTTCCTCTCTTACCTTCTCCTAGTCCATCTTCAGATCAAAGTATGTCCTTTATTTATCTGCTTAATTCTCAAAGTGATTCTTTTTCTTCTATGATTGTTTGCTCAATAATTTGTGTGTAATCAGATGAAGATGTTTGTCAAAGTGATTTAGAGCGGATTAGAGAGAATATCAGCGATTTGATTATGTGGAGAGATGTTGCGAAATCAACACTTTGGTTTGGTTTCGGATGTATATGTTTCCTATCTTCTTGCTTTGCTGCTAAAGGATTTAACTTTAGGTAACATTGATTTCTCTGTCAAGTTTTATCTTTCTAGCTTTAATCATTTTATGACATTCATGAGTTAATCATGAAACTTTGTGGTTTGAAGTGTTTTCTCAGCGATGTCGTATCTTGGACTCTTGTTTCTTGGGGTATCGTTCTTGTCAAATACTCTTCGCCAAAGGTAAAAACTTTTAAGGTCCCAGTACATATTCAAATCAGCTTGTACTGAAGTTTTGATCCATTTGTTACCTTAAAGGGCAACCGAAGAAGCGCGGAGAGAGCTTAAACTAAGTGAAGAGGATGTATTACGAATCGCTAGACGAATGCTTCCCATCACCAATTTAGCGATATCAAAGACGAGCGAGCTTTTCTCTGGCGAACCAGCAATGACACTCAAAGTAGAATTTACAAAAATGACACCATTCTCATAAAACGTTTACCTCTGAATGTGGTTCCTTCTTATGCTGTTTTCACTTTGATTTCAGGTGGCACCCTTTGTTCTAATGGGAGCCGAATATGGTTACCTCATAACATTGTGGAGGTTGTGTGCTTTTGGTATGATTATTGGAACACTACATGTCAACCCAATACTCCAAAAATATCTAAACTGTGTTCTTTAGTTGTATCTAGTAGAATTGACACAGAGTATGCATTGTTTCTTTAAACAGGTTTCTTCCTTAGCTTCACCATTCCAAAGCTATATTCATGTTATGCGAGTCAGATTAACCAGAAAGGTAAACTCTATTAACACTAAAACTCTTTGATGGTTCCAATGATTGACACAAGAATCATTGATCTTTGCTTATGTGTAGTTGAATGTGCACAAAAGAGAATTGTTGAAGCTTGGGGAGTTTGCACACACAAGAAATTCGTAGCAGGCTCTGCAGTTACTGCATTCTGGAACCTGACTTCTCTCAAGACCCGTTTTATCGCAGTGTTTATCATTGTGGTAGTAATCAGATACAGACGCCAGAATCTACAGTTCGATTCCGAGGAAGATGAGGAGAAGCAACAAGAACAAACTCACCCGGAGCAACAAGAATCGCCGGAAGAAAAGTCACCTCCACCTTCACCGTCGCCGTCGCCACCGCGGTCAGCAGAAGAAGAGCAAGCGTTGGTGGTGGTTGCAGAATCCGAAGCACCAAAGAAGCTCTAGTCTAGTGTTGACTTTTCAGTTTCCACCTATGTAATAACATTTCACATTTACGCAATAAATAAAAAGTAGTCGTTATTATCAAATAATAAATTAACACGTGTCAAGCTCATGAAAACTGTGAAGCAGGTGATAAAAACTCTCGTCCGTCTTGGGAGAGAGCACATCATCGTCTTGTCTTTATAAACCCTAATTTCACCATTTCTCTTCCCAAAAGTTTTATCGATTCAACCAAATTAGGGCGAACGCGAAATCTGGGTTTTGTAATTTGAGCGATGGCGACGACTGGAACTGCTGCGGTTGCGACGGGAACATCGACGGTGAAGAGAAAACCGGTGTTTGTGAAGGTGGAACAGCTAAAGCCTGGAACGACTGGTCACACTTTGACTGTTAAGGTCCTTGAGGCTAATATTGTGGTTCCTGTTACCCGGAAGACTCGTCCGACGAGTTCTCTGAGTCGTCCTTCTCAGCCTAGTCGAATCGTTGAGTGTCTCATCGGTGACGAAACTGGGTGTATCCTCTTCACTGCTCGTAACGATCAAGGTTACTGTTATTTAACTTTTCTCTTGCTCTCTGGATATAGAAATGGTGTCTTCGTTGTTTATTAGAGTGAAAAGTCTGATCCTTTGTTGTCCTCTCGTTTCTATTTTGAGCAAATGGTAAATGTGTTTCTGCTAGTCCTATTTGGTAAATGATGTATCAGTTGTTATTGTGTGTGAAAATGGGAATCTGTTTATCTTGATTTTCTGGAAAAGGATTACTAAATCTATTTTATGTGTCTGAAAATGTGAATGGAACTACTGTGAAAATCTGTTCAAGCCTGTTGTTTTCTCGGCATTTTCGCTGATTTAGTCATGTCTTTGTGAAATTGAAACTTGAAAGACGTCTTCGCCTTGAAAGTCTGTAGTATCATTCCTTAATTTTGACTGGAATTGTATACTGTACTTTAGAAATGATGAAATTTGCTTGGTCAGATGATGAGTTATGTTCGATTGGATGGTCTACATTATCCCAAAACTTTATAGCTTTTCCTGTAGAAATGTTAGTGTTGTACCAGTTATCTTGCAATTGCTTTGGCCTAGTGATTTGACTGATAATGGTACTGATTCTTTTCTTTGTGTATAGTTGATCTTATGAAGCCAGGGGCAACGGTGATACTGCGCAATTCAAGGATAGACATGTTCAAGGGTACAATGAGGCTAGGGGTTGATAAATGGGGACGCATCGAAGCCACTGAACCCGCATCTTTCGCAGTCAAGGAGGATAACAATCTGTCTCTTGTTGAGTATGAACTGATCAATGTTGGTGATCAGTGATCTTTTTAGACTGTTTATGGAAGTTAACCCCTGAGAGTGTTGGGTTCTGATTTTTCTACCGTGAAGGTCTTTGATTTAGATGATGAAGATTGTATGACTTGTCCAGAGTTGCTTGTAGGAATGCTTCTTCTTTTTTACCCTAAAATATGCGGTCATGATCTTGCTCTGGAGAACAATTGAGTATGCGGTAATGCGATTGTTCCTTTTAATTTGTGTTGATGTAAGTTAAAGACCATTGAGAGCTTGTTCACTTTCTAATACAGTAAAATAAGTTTTCATTCTTACTTTCTTAAATCTTCTTTTGGCATCTCATATTACTTAACGTATCACAATTGTACACTCTCGGTTAAAACTCTTTACAGAGGCAGTTATGCCAAACATTGTATCTCATCTTGGTTTATTGGCATTGGTTAGACAAACTGTAAGTACATAAAAAATCATCTACGGGTATCGGGGAGTTAAGCAGATCTAATTTCATACTGAATTAATCTTTGGAATCAAAAAGTTACTTAGATCAGCTTCATAACACCCAAAAGTAGTTCATGAACACAATGAAATGTAAAGAGAAAAACCGAAATGGGTATAACCCGAAAGAGGCTTACAACACAGCAAAAATGTTATGATTCCTAATCTTACCCTCACTATACCAAAACAGTCCCCTCAACGTATCATCATCCTTGATAGAAACAAACGGAGAAAGAGTAAACTCACTCCACTTCTTTGATGATCTTTCTTTTGCGCAGAGGTTTTGTGACCACTGTTCCTGGAGCACTGTGAGCTTTCCTTCGAGCTTCTTTTCTTCTCTTCGAATCGTTCACGGTTCGGATGATCGCCATTGCTTTGTATATTGGTTTTGGCAAGTGCCTGTGTCTGTATTTCACAATAACCAAAACGTTACCATGTTACTATAGTTATCTTTTGATCTCCGAAGTTAGAAGCATGGGATAAAACCACAGTTTTCATTGGTCATTTACCTCACAATGCGCTTAACCTCAGGAAGATGCTTGTACCGGTTCTTCACAGCCTCGTTGTACTCATGCTTCTTCTGTTCCCTTGGAAGAATCTGCGGCACAACACACCAATCAACATTGAGAATTCACCGTTCCAAGTTAAAACTTCTTAAGAAAGCATGTACAAGTAATATCTCATAATCATATGCACAATTGGATCAACGGCTAAAAGCCTGTGGTAACTTTTTTTCGGTTTTTCTTTTGTATAAATCAATCTAATGCTAGTGTAACAAGAAAATTCACAGAATCTTACAACTCCCAATTGCTCTGATGCTTTTGCCTTCCATAGCCTGAGATTGGTGTCATCACTGCCCGATATTACATATGTAGCATCACAGCTATACTTGACACAGAATACTCTACAAGAAAAAAAGAAATATAATTTAGAAATTGCTTAGACTAAATCATATTACCAAGGTGGTACACCAGAACATTTGAACTTCAAGTATATACAGAGTTGTTCAGTAGAATGTACCTCTGCATCCTCTTTGTATGGTATATTTCCCTGCTGTGTCCTCCATTGTATGGGAAGATTCTGACAGATCGATCATAAGAACCCGTAACAAATTCACGACCAGTTGGTGAAAAGTCAATATCCATCCTGTAAAATGATGAAAATTAGATAAATCATAATGCATTAGTATGATATCTTGTTGAATATTATAGCTGAGACTTGGGATTTATGATTCTTTATTCTTACACTGCAGAAACATGATCTTTATGCACGCACTTGGCTTCGTCCAACTTTCTACCATCAAAGCTATAGCAACTTCCATCTTCATTAGCCTATTCAGTTTCACCATGGGATAAAATTAGTACATAAGCAAGAGACAAACGATGATTTAGCATAACCCATCGCAGAAAATTTCATTTTATGAATATCACTTACAGCTGTCAGGTTCATAGGCTCCATGGGGTTCCATGCAATTGAATTTGTTTTTGTCTGCCGAAAGAAAAGCAATTCGCAGACCACGGTTTAAGTTTGAAGAGTAAAATGATTTCATATGACGAGAATGAGTGAACAAGTTTCAACTATACCATCATGATAATTTTCCTCGCCGCAGAAGACATACGGAGATCATATATGGTTATGCTGCGGTCGCTGGAAGAAGAAAAATCCTCTTATAGTGTTAGAAAAGGCTCTGGAAGGCCTAGCACAGATAATCACATGACATAAACAAGTATAAAGTAGAAAGCATATACCTAGCAGATGTAGCTAATATATCAGGCTCTCCAGGATTAAACCGAACAGATATTACAGAGTCAGTTCCCCACTGGAAACTCTGTACTGGCTGAGACCTAATTACAAAAAGTAGAACCATAAACTGCTTGCGTTAAAATAAAACAAACACCAAAGATTTCTTTTAGCAGGAGTCTGAGTACCTATTATGGTTCCATATATCAAGTTGAGCTCCGGCGGTAGCAAAAAGGTCACCTTCAAACTGATGATCAACAGCCCTAGAAATAAAAGACAGCTTTAGTAACTCAAGTTTTTTGGACCAACATGAGAAATTGAATAAAGAGTGTACGAAGTCTACCAGAAAGCATTCTTCCAGACATAAGTTGCAGATGGCTGAAAAAAATAGTTGTAATTAGCTTGTAGTTATATACCAGCAAGAGCAAGCTCCTGATAATACAATATTACATAAAAAAAAGAAGATTAAAAGAACTACCTCAATGGAATTCTCAGATGAAATGTTAGAATCTTCTAGTGTAGGACGAGGAACATTCCACAAACGAACACTGCAAAAATCCATTCACCTTAGCTTCACAGCCTAAATTCTGATCAACGAATTGAAGATTTAAAACAACAAGAAATTCTTAGAATATCTTACGTGCAATCAGTTCCGCATGAAACCAATACATTGCCATCGGTTGATGCAGTAAGACCACGCACAGCACCTTGATGACCAGGGAATTGGCAAACAGTACGCCTGCTTGTTCCAAGTTCCAGAATTCATTTACCACAAAAAAAAAAACAAAATGAAGTTCAAATTCATTCAGCGAGATTTAGTTTTTGAAGATTTTAACCTTGAAGAGATATCCCAAAGGCGAATATCTGCAGAGAAGAAATAGAAACATAGTATCAATTTCAGTAGCATCAATGGATACAAAGAGCAAGCTTACATAAATGGCTATTGCCACTTGTAGCAATCTTAAAATAACCGAACTTTTGGTTCCTTTTCCATAATTCATATATCATTATCAAATTTGCCATTAGAGTTCAGACTAAGAGGTAGATAATTACCTCCATCCATAGAAGCAGAGAAGATTCCCTTGAGGTAATTTGGGTTCTTCGCCATACATGAGACTCCATCACGATGACCATCCATTGCTCCTACGAACGGCCTTGCAAATATCTAAAGACCAACAAAAACAAAAACAGAGGCAAATTTGAGGATTTTTGCACAGCTAAACGATACAGAGAAAAATCAAAATTGAAGAAACTCAAAGAGCAGATACCTTTTCTAATTTGGCAGCTGTAAGTGCTCTCTGGTATTCCACAGCCTTCTCCATAGGTCGAAGACTTGGGTCGAAGTTGTGAAAGACCCTCTGGAATCACAGAAATTTGATAAGGTTATTGAGATTCAAAAGCTAATTTTGTGATATGGGAACCAAATTGGATAAGCAGAAATTTACCTGAAGATCCTGACTTCTTTCTCGAGTGTATTCATCAACCGATCTTGATAACGTCTTAATCTTCATTTCTTAAGACTACAAAAAGGTCA